GTCGATTTGCACTCTCAGGACCATCTGTAGAATTCATTGGACAGCAAGTAGTCTCATCGACAGACACGTGAAGTTATGCTAACATTGAAAAGCGGTTTGAACAGAGGGAGGCAAGAGAAAGCACCTCCAGGCGTGAATCAATCCAAGACAGACTCATCATGTTCAGAAAGGCCCCTAACTCATGACTCAAACAGAGACCTACTTGTCGTTATCGATATAAGCAATCTTCTGCAAGTTTTAACTTGAGCGATGTTGCAAAATGTTGTTTGCAACCGTATAAAAATGGGAAGACGAAATCCCTAGAGGCTTCAGGGTCAAAAGGTACCACAGGCTTTTCATTGGCTTATCCCCATTTCACCTTATGGAAATGCTCCAAACATTTTAAATTCTCTACTAACTGGCTGACGCAAGATGAGAACTGGCTTGAGTAGTCCAAGTTTAGGCAGACGACGGCAGGATCAACTACCCTCTAGCGCCCCAGCCATTCTCCACTGCCACATCCCTACCCCATCCTTACGCGCTGTAATTTTCTCACCAATTTCCTACTTCCTTTGTAACCCATTTCATAACCATATGGGAAATGAAATACTCAGATGGAAAATAAAGGGGAGACAGAAACGATTTATTGTTTGGCCAATGCAGGAGTGGTATATCGTATCCACCAAGAAGCAAACCGAGACCCAGACCCTACAAAGGATAACGAGTCTATTTGAGATACTGTGGTCTATATACAAGAATCCCATTTATCGGTGAATAAAGCCCCTAGGTGACATCCCGTCAGAGGTGGAAGTTGCAGTCAAGTCAAGTTGTGGACAATTGAGCAAGTAACCAATCAAATACGAGCAACCACTCTCCTCTGCCCTACTGTTGCAAAGAGGTTGTGCCGCCTTTTTTGTCTTCCTGTACCAATATTCTACCTCAAGTCCTGTTTATTTCAAGGAATATAAATTAAAATGCTGTTTCACCTCCCAATCTGGCTGTCCATTACTAGGAGAGTAGTACCTCTAATGCGCCTATACATTTAAACACAGGAAATTTTTATTCCTTTTGGGAGGTAGGGTGTTTGTTGTGCCTTTCTGTTATACACTCCCTACGGGAGAGGTTCTCGCCCCATTTGCACATAAAATTTTAGGTTCGTGATTGAAAAGCGCATCCGCAGTCTCCGAAGCCTCCACCAGAGTCTTTCAAGCCCTTCTGGTGGTTATTTATAACCCGCTCTTCCACTCTGACTTACCTCCAGAAAAGGCATATACAAAGATGAGATGATTTGAACCCGAGTCGAAGCATGCAACAAAATGAAATAGGAAGGAAAGAACAGAAGAATGAAAGAAAAGAGTTTTTGAGTCCTGAAAAAGAAAAATAAGCTCAACTCTGCGGAAAAAATTGTTTTCCTTTGCTATTATCTGATCTGGGTTTAGTTTATCCTTTCAAGGAGGCATTAGCCATGACAGAGAAGAGCTGTTGTTTCGTTCGGTAATGCCAGGAGACTACATTTTAATCAAGTTGAGAAACGATTTTCAAAACTTTAAACTCACCAAATTTTAAACCAAATTGAAGTAAAAAAACTCAAGAGACAAGATCGTAAACCAGAAGCAGAAAAGTTGAATGGGAAGCCTTTGGCTAAGCATTTTAACACATCCAGGCATTCTAGAGTGTCGTGATCCCACCCAGTCTTTCCTGATTGGCTTATTTCAAGGTGAGGAGGACTCTGAGGTCACTCAGCAACTACAACTACCTGTCGATGATCGTGGAATCGACCTCAGATGGCCTGATGACTTGTGGTGTCTGGTGTTGTCCAATATTTGGAGGTCAGGAGTCAGCCACCTCCGTACAAACCCATCAATGCCGGTTGAGAAGTGGATAGGATCTGGACCACACGCACATGGAAACGCTAATCCATGACATGTGGGGACTCTCCAGCCTGCAACAACAAAGTTATTCCTGAAAGGATTGAATATCGGAGCTACAATACAGTGGAACGCCAGCTTGTGGGTTGAAGACAAAGGTCGATGTGAGTTCATCGTTCCATTGGTCGTTTTTGTTGCTTTTGAAACCCCTCATTCGATTCTGTTCCGCATGGATTTTATGCCATTTGGAGGAGGTACAATGCCTGAAAGTATCCCCTGAAGGGGTGATGGAACAGATTATTTACCGCTATCTATGTAATCAGCATTCGACACTCCACCATTACCAACCAGGTTGTTTACTGACTGCCTTGCCTTGCATGTAGTGCAACCTAGCCGAAAATTCCGCTCGAAGCATTTATTTCCAAAGGCCATAGAGGCCCGCCTGAGATCCATTTGCTCGACACAAATTGGTACAATTTGAGGGTTGACAAGCTAACGCTCTCTAGGGTAGGAGGAAGGAGGGTACCACCTTAGTGACTGGTGCGGTTACCTTTATCTCTGGGATTAGTGTTAGCAACTCCAGCCAGTAGAAGCACATGCAGGTGCCTTGTTGGCTGTAAAAATCTCGTCTTTCCAACGTCTGATAAGAATCTCAGTGGTGTCAGTGATGCCATGACAGCCTCGTCAATTTCGCCCCTGACTGGGACCCACCACCCCAACATTTCTCTCCCTCCAAGTGATGGTTATCGAGTGCTCTGGGCATCACACAAACCACCATGAGAAACAAAGTAGGCTGCTGGGACGTGGAAATGAGGTGTGTGTGTGTGTGTGTGTTTGTGGAACTTGTAGTCAAGCCTGCGTCGCATTAGGAGTGGATGACAGCGATCAACTACTATCTTTTCATCTTTACCCCCCTCTCTCCACCTCTGTGTCTCAGCTCTTTTTTTCGTTTTTTTTTTTAAAGTAGAAAAATTGCTTAAATACAGGAGTACATAAACTTGCATGGAGTACTTGCCCCCAGGAGCGATTAAACTGACGTGTGTGTACAGCCAAATGGCACACCCAAACGCAGGTGGGAAAAGTGTATGTTAGAGGCAATGCTCTATCTAAATTAGCTTACTATATTCTACAAATTTCCTACTTTTTCGCTAATATAAGCCCACTTTTCAACATCTTTTTTCTCCCTTACCAATGGGGATGCTGGGGGGGGGGGGGGGTGAACCGAAGGGCGTATATGTTTCGCCTTTGCGTTAAGCACCGTCAAAAGGAAGGCAGAGGTGAGCGGGCCACACTTCATGTCTGCCTACTGCCTTATAATCAAGACCAACTTAAGGGTGGGTCTCCCTCTCACGCTCCATGCCTCCCTCTGTCCATCCTACTTAGACAAAGTTAAAACAAATGCTACTACTTCGTAAACAAAGCATTTGTGAGGAAAAAATAAAAAACAGTAAATAGGATTTGGAGAGATAATTCTCCCTCTAAAGCCCTGTCAAAGACCAAGCCACGTTATTCCATTGTTTTACGTAAACTTATAAATGAAAAGAATGGCGATTTTGTATTAACCAATCAGCAGTTGAATCACGTTGACTTGCTTATCAAACTACTCCTGACAACCTGGGAGTAGATGTCAAAGGATGCACCATCTTACCTGTCGCAGAGGAATAGTCTTCGAGGTTCAAATAAGATTCCATTCTCCTGTGAATTGGTCTCCATATTAGTGACAGGGAAAATCAAGTGCCAAGTGAGTCCGCCAGACAATCGGTAGTCTAGTCGGAAGTTCTGTTATTTACCTGTAAAACAGTGAACAATGCACAACTCGTAAAGGAACTTATTGTCAAATGTAATTGATGCATGCTTGTGGTACATTCCTGTTTGGACATCTCCACAACTTGCCCTTTCCATCTAATGTCGGCGCATACTAACGTCTTGCTTCTATCACATCAAAAACGACTGCACGTTGGTCCTGACACCCTTTTCCGCAGGAAATGGAATAGAGGATAGACGTCAACGTACTAGAC